GTGACGAGGCGTCGGTCCTGAGAATAAATTGCTCATTAATATTAGGTAAAATAAGAAATGGTTCTGAGTTCAAGTGTTTCTGGACCAGTCTTAAAGCACGGTTACATTCATCTGACCACACGACCTTTTCAGGTTTACCCTTTGCTAACAAGTCTGTCAGAATTGCGTTGGCCTCGCTGAATTCTGGTATAAATTTAGCATAATACCCTATAAGACCCACTAATGATCTTACCTCTTTCTTTGTGGTGGGTATTGCTACGTTTAAGATTTTGTTTACCTTGTTTCTCTCTGGTGTCAGTAGCCCCCTCCCCACTATGTGCCCTAGGAAATTAATTTTTTCAAACCCTAGCTCTAATTTGGCAGGTCTTACTGTCAGGCCCGCGTCCCTCAATCTATTGAACACCGCCTTTATTGCCATAAGGTGTTCCTCCCATGTCTCGCTGTAGATACAGATGTCATCAAAAAATGACACCACATTTTCCAAGTCTTTTAATACGACTCGCATTAATCTGGCGAATGTGGCGGGTGCCGTGCATAGGCCAAAGGGCAGGTAATTAAACTGAAATAGGCCCCAGGGTGTGACAAATGCGGTGAGTTTTTTGCTGTCATTTTGCATGGGGATCTGCCAATACCCTTTTGTGAGGTCGAGTTTAGTAAAATATTTTGCCCTATTTAATTTAGCGAACAGCTCATCTGTATCTGGGATGGGTTCCGCGTCGTAGACTGTGACTGCGTTAAGTCTCTTATAGTCTACACAGAACCGTGTCGACCCATCTTTTTTCTTAACTAGTACTACAGGTGCGCTGAAATCGGAGTCGGACCTCTCTATTATCCCCAGTCTCTCCATTTCGTCCATCTCTTTCTTCATAAGCTCTCTTCGGGCGTATGGTATGCAGTAGGGTTTCGTTCTTATTGCTCTGGTGTTGGTCAGTTTTATTTTATGTTCTAGTAAACTTGTTTTTCCAGGTAAGTTGCTAATTACAGCTGTGTACTCTTGGATAATTTTGTCTAGATCTGTCCGCTGTGTTTTTGTCAGGGTGTCTCCTATTTTGATATCACTTAACTTAGTTTCCTCCAGTATGTCAGGAGTTTTTATTGTGTCCAATGGAATACCCGGTTCCATGTCCTCCTCATCTGTTAGTGATACTTGGTTTTCTTCTTCTGCCTCCACCACTCCTGACACTGCCGCTAACATGGGGTGTCCCTTGCTGTCGTCTGGTTTTTGTCTGTGATGGTACAGCATCATCCGATTTACATGGACCACCTTAGTGCTGTCCCCTGTTTTAATAACATAGTCCAAGTCTCCGATTTTTTTTAAGACTTCGTAAGGTCCCGCCCACCTTAGCTCAAGTTTGTTTAATAGTTGGGGCTTCAGTATCAGTACATGATCCCCCACTTTGATATCTTTGGTTGTGGCTGATCTATCGTAGTAGCTCTTTGCTTTATCTTTCTCATTTTCTGATTTGCGGGTTGCATAACTGCATGCCGTTTGCAACTGCTGCTTAAGGTCCAGCAGGTAGTCATATGCAGCTCTTGTCTTATATTCCCTTACTTCTCCTGTGAGGATATCCTTTAGGATGCTCATCGGGCCCCTCACTTTCCTGCCGAACATAAGTTCGAATGGCGGGTAACCAGTGCTTTCGTTTGGAACTTCTCTGTAGGCGAAAAGTGCTGCTGGGATGAACACGTCCCAATCGTCATCCTTGTCTATAGCTACTTTCTTTAGCATTTCCTTCAAAGTTCCATTCCATCGTTCTACCGCCCCGTTGGCCATGGCGTGATATGCCGAAGCGTGAATGATTTTAATCCCCAACATTTTAGACACGGTGCAGAAAATTTCCGACGTGAACTGGGTCCCGTTATCTGAGAGTATGACTTCCGGGAATCCCATCCTCGTGAAGATGGAGAGTAGCGCATCTTGGATCTCTGCTGCCGTTACACTTTTCAGCGGTACGGCTTCTGGCCACCGTGTGCATATGTCTACGGCTGTGAGTATGAATCTGTTCTTTTTTTTCGTTTGAGTTAGTGGCCCCACAATATCTATGGCGATTTTCTCAAACGGTTGTCCCACTACCTCAGTTCTACCCAGAGGCGCCTTGCCACCAACATTCTTTTTGCTTTTCTGGCAGACATCACAACTTTCGCAGTAACGCCTGATATCCTCCCCTGCCCCTGGCCAGCTAAATTGTGACAGAATTCTGGCTTTCGTTCTTGCTACACCCATGTGCCCCGCCATAGGTGTGTCGTGTCCTAATTTCAGGATGGTGGGCCTAAGTCCCCTTGGGATTGCTAGTCTAATCTGATCTTCTGTTTTGCTGTGTTTTATGATCTTATATAATAACCCATCTATCGTTTTACATTGTTTGCCCTTTTCCGCGAGCTTCCACCACCTAGCTAATGTTTTGTCTTCGCTCTGTTGCGTTTTAAAATCTTTCGATGTCGTTATTTGGTCTAAAATCTTATGCCCCGGCTCATTTCTCTGGTTGCCCCATGCTCTAAGTTGTCCTCTGGTTTCTACCGCCGCTAATGTTAGCGAATCTTCCCTCGGTAATTTCGCGCCTGCTACATTCCCTATTATAAGTTCAGCGGGTGGATCATCTAAAAGGACGGCAAAGAACTCTCCCGTAAGGTATGGTGTTTCTATGTTGACTACAGCTCCTGGTACTCTTTTCTTATCTCCATCCGCGGTCTTTATGGTTATCCATTCTTTTGTCCATCTATTCCTTGGGACTAGAGCTTTTCGACAAGCTACGACTACAGAGCCCGTATCCCGTAGGACGGTCACTGTCCTCCCATCTAGTTTTCCTGCAACTATAGGAAGTGACCCTCTGTCGCTTATGAATCTCCGATTAGCTCCAATGTTCCCTACAGGGACAGCGCCCTTTACTTGACTTAGGCATTGTCCACAGTCGCCGCACTCCCCGCTGAACTCTGGTACTAGTCATATGTCTTGAATGTCCCTGAAGCCTACCCTTCTCCCTCTGTACTCATGTCCAATTTGTCTACGATTGGACCGGCACCCCGCCGCTATGTGCCCCTCAGCCCCACAGTTAAAGCATGTGATTGGGCTTCTTCTGGGACTAATATTACTACTCGGCCTAGGTTGGACCGGGCTTTGTCCTCTTCTCTCCCGTTGAAGGGTGACTTCATTTCTTGTGACCCATTCCTCTCTAATGGGGCTCTTAGATCTAGGCCTTAGGGTTCGTTTGTCCTTGTCCTCTCTAAAGGGATTCCTAGATCCTGATGCAAGTGCCATGGGGGCAACAAATGCGTCTTCTGTCACGTCGATCGGTTTTAATTTTCTGTCTGGGTAGATGTCAAAGTAGTTGTCACAGGCATTTTCTACGTCTGCTATTGTCCTCGGGTTTTGTCTGAGGATGTGCTGTCTTATGTCTTGTCCGACTGTTCTCACTATTTTGTCTTTTAAGAGTAGGTCAAACAGTCCGTCAAATGTCTTGTCACACTTGCTAGCTTCGACCCATCTTCTCAAGTAGTGTCGTACCCTCCTAATGTAACTCCCTGCTCTGTCTTGTTCTGATGGTTGGGCGCTATTAAACTTTAATACTGGCCACCAGTTGTTACGTTCTGGGTTCATTTCAAATCAATAACAACGCTTCGTGTTTAACTCCACTACTTTTATTCGTCTCAATGCATTCAAGCGTAACAGAACAGCCCTCGTCCTAACCGCTACTAACCCGCTGACTGCCAACTAACTACCCCTGACAACCATTCACTCCAGCTTTTATACCGCATTCGACCTTGGGATAACAATACACAAACACACCGGGGTTAACAATATTCTAGGGTAAACTCAACTCACACACTCACTCTCCCCTAATTCTAGATCATTCTATCCTATTCTAGTCTAACCTACACTGACCCGTAACACAGATGTTTGTTTGACCCAAAACGTCAAAAGTGAGCCTCTTTTAGCGACAGCAATTGCTTTTAGCTCCTGCAGCCAGACCTTCGTTTTCAAGTGCAGATCTGCATCGCTTTTTAGTTGACTCCACTTTTCAACGACTTCTTCTTGGCGAATCTTTTTACTCTTTTTAGGATATGCCAGCACGTAAGCATAAAAAATACACTGGAACATTTTATTTCTATCCATGCTTAACAGTCGATTTTTAAGCAGAATTTATGAGATTATTAGATCTACCTTTCAATTGAAAAGCCCAACACAGACAAAGTTGATTCAGCGAGACACGTGTAGGCCTATTTGGGTTGATCGAATAAACACGCATTACAATTTACCCTAAACACATCCGCTTTTTTTTCCGCACCTACAAAAATCACGTGATCTCGACCTTGGAACTGATCGTACAAATTATTTTTCCTCTGGATCGTCCAACAAGCATGAGCTACCGGCATGAACACCATGATGTAGTAAGGGAGACAAGGCTTGTCATCAAGGGCAAGAGTCTTAGCCCTAAGTGTAAACAGAAGTTCTGTAAATAGTTTTTAAATAAAATATTCGGGAAACGGGGTTTCAAAGAAAAGCAAGCATTACACTGATACCCCCGCCTTACTCTCACTAGTTGACATGCTTCCGACCTTTAGTCAAATAGCACCATTGACAAATTTGCAAATACGGCTGTCTACTACACAACTTACATCGTCAAATTATAGGGCAATTTAATTAGAACAACGATACATTTCACAATCTTTTGACAACTTGACTTACAGAATAGTATACATTTTGTTAGAAGTATCGCAACCAATGTAAAAAATTATTTAGTATTTTATTTTTCTAAAAACTAAACAAAAAATACATGTTAATCAATTCGTGGAATTAAGACTACGTGACGTCACAATGTCTCTACCTCCCCTCCCCTCGTCACAAAAGTCTGACCCCCCCCCCCCCCTAGGCGTGTGACGTCATTTATGGACGACCCCCAAGTTAAATGAATAATAATAATAATAGCTTTTGTTTGGATGACGCTGGGCCCAACACTCGTTGGGTGTAATATAGTGAGACTTGTGAAGTCAAGGGAACTCACTCTTCTTGTATTAGTATTATATTTATACTGTTATCTTGAGTGATGTCCCTTACATGTATATATATCTTTGTCTCTCGTCACTTCCGTTCTCTCTCTCTCCATCATGTTAGCGAAGGCCCAATAAAATCTATATACAAACAGCATGGCTTCTCGTCAGTGTGTTATAATAGAACCACTCCAATCCACCTCAAATGGCGACGAGGATAAATAATCCACTAGAAAGAGCACCTACTTACTCAAAAAGAGGTTTGCTAGAGCATATTGGCTAAGTATTTCTAGAATAATGGCGCTGTATGGCCAAATAAAAGAATTTGATTCGAATGATGAAATCATTCATGATTATCTAGATAGATTAAGCTTTTACCTTGAAGCTAACGACGTGACGATAGAAGCCAAAAAGAGAGCTGTTTTGTTAACAGTCATAGGGCCTCAACAATTTAGGCTATTAAAGGACTTATGCGCACCAGCTAGTCTAACTACCAAGAGCTTTAACGAGCTGAGCAAATTGCTAACAGACCACCATGCGCCTACCTCATCAAAGTTTCTATGTAGAGCTAGATTTGACGGTAGGACTCGTCAACCAAACGAGTCAATATCAGAATATGTTGCTGCTTTACGTCATTTAAGTAAATTTTGTGAATTCGGCGATACGCTGTCTGACAGACTATGTGAAAAGTTTGTGACAGGTGTAAACAGCCCTGATGTTCAAAGAAAGTTGCTTCTCGAGTCAGATCTAACATTAGAAAAAGCAATACAACTAGCAACTTCATTCCAGCAGTCATCCGAGGCGGCGAAATCTCTAACGCCTTCAGAGATCCATGCAGTAAACAGCAGGTTAGTCAACAAACACCAACCCCATCAGAGCATTCCAACTTATGCTAAACAGCCTGCTCGTTCAAATCCTAGATCTAAATCTAGTAATAATTATCAAAAATGTCATCGATGCAAAGGTCCCCATGCATCTCATCGGTGCAAGTTCAAGTCTGCAACTTGTTATAAGTGCAGTAAGCAAGGTCACATTGCCAAGGCCTGCTTTGTAAAGTCTTCGTCTGTTGCTAAATCTAGCCAGTCAAGACAGTACCGCAACCAAAGGCAGCACTATGTTAACTCTCACCAAGACTACCTAACCCAACCAATGAACCACTCTACCAGTGAAAATGCTCAAACTGATTCGCAGCCGGATTTCAACCTGTTCTCTGTGAAATCAATAAGTCATGCTCCCATCAATGTACCAGTTAATATCAACGGTAAGAGCATCAGCTTCCAACTTGACACTGGAGCATCTCTAACAGTCATCACAAAGAAGGACTTTGACGCTGTCACAGGAGGATTAGTGCCTCTACAACCATGTCACAAGTGTCTAACAACATACACTGGTGACAACGTTCCGGTAATAGGAGAGTGTATGGTTCATGTAAGTTATAATGGTCAAAGTGTTAAACTTCCTCTTCTTGTGGTTGAAGAAAATGGACCACCATTACTAGGTAGGAACTGGTTAGTTGATCTTAAGTTAAATTGGGAGAGTATATGTTCATTGAACAACGCAAGAGAATCTAGTCTTACTTCAATAGATAAAGTTATATCTGAAAATAAATGTGTTTTTGGTAATCCTGGATTACTAAATGATAGAACAGTGAAGTTAAGCATTAAAGACACAAATCCAAGATACTGCAAAGCTAGAGTTCCACCTTATGCAATGAGGAATAAAATTGAAAATGAGCTAAGTAGATTGGAATCTAATGGCATCATAAAGAAGGTAGACTATTCCGATTGGGCAACGCCCATTGTGCCAGTGTTAAAGAAGGATGGTTCTGTAAGAATTTGTGGAGACTATAAAGCTACACTGAATAAGCAAATAGAGCTAAATAGGTACCCTATTCCTAACATTGAGGAAATTTCTTTGAATTTGGCAGGAGGAGACAAATTCACTGAATTAGACTTTAGTCATGCTTACACTCAACTAGAACTGCATCCAGATTCATAAGGCTATACGACAATAAACACACATAAAGGACTCTACCAATATGAAAGACTATGTTTTGGTATATCATCCAGCCCTGGAATTTTCCAGGCTGTCATGGACAGTATTTTTAAGGATATTCCAAATGTTTGTTTTTACTTTGACAATGTGTACATAACTGGTAAGAATGACACTGAACATCTTAAAACACTAGATAAAGTATTGAAAATAGTTGGTGAAAAAGGTTTAAAGATAAACAAAGATAAATGTCAATTCATGCTGACAGAAATTAGTTTTCTTGGTTATATATTAAGCAAGCAAGGCATCAGACCTCAACCTGAGAAAGCAAAAGCCATTAAAGAAGCACCCAAACCTGAAAATACCCAACAACTAAGAGCTTTTTTTGGGTTTGGGCTTGATAAATTACTATGCAAAGTTCATAGGGAATCTGTCTGGTAAACTATCACCACTGTACAAGCTGCTACAGAAAAATGCAACTTGGCACTGGGGTAAACAACAAGAAGCTGCTTTTAATACAGCAAAAGAAGCTTTGTCTTCTGACACCTTACTAACTCACTATGACCCAGGGAAAGGACTTATATTAACATGTGATGCTTCACCAGATGGTGTAGGAGCAGTCTTATCCCACATAAATGAAAAGGGTGACAGACCCATTGCTTTTGCCAGTAGATCTTTGAACCAGGCTGAGAAAAATTATTCTCAGTTAGATAGGGAAGGCTTAGGCATCATTTTTGGTGTTAAGAAATTTCATAAGTTTCTGTTTGGTAGGAAGTTCACCATCTTTACAGATCATAAACCATTGCTAGGTTTATTTGGAGAAAACAAAACCCTACCTGAGCATGCCTCACCAAGAATTCAAAGATGGGCTAACACACTAACTGCATACAATTATGAATTGAAATACAAACCTGGATCTGAGAATAGTGCAGATAGTCTTAGTAGATTACCTTTAAAAAACCAAAGCCTTAGCTATGTACCAGAAGAAGTATTTGTTCTTTTCACTATCATGGATAACTCCAATATAAATGTGAATGATATTAAAAGAGAAACACAAAAAGATGAGTGCTTAATAAAAGTATATGAGTACTGTAAGAATGGTTGGCCTGAAGAGTCTGTGAATGATGACTTAAGGCCATATAAAATAAGAAATAAAAACCTTTGTGAAAATAATATAAAAGAAGGAGAAGATGCAGTCCATTATCAGTCAGAGTTACCTAAACAAAGTATTTGTAACTTAATAAATGATTATGGTGATATGGCAATTTCAAATGCTTTTAAAGAGAATACATTAGTAAGAAGGAATGTGATCATCAAACAACTTTGCTAACATCATTAGCACTTACAGAAACTTAAAGGGTAACATCAAAAGAAAAGAAAAAAGATTTTTGCCATTTAATACACCCACTTCAAATACTGGATCACAGTTGCAAAGTGATATGGTCCAGGATATTACTTGTAAACAGTATTTTTGGTTACCAAAAAGCACTATCAAATTACCTGAGGAAATTGATCAATCAAAGAAATCTATGTCAGTCAAGGATCTGAATAACAGCATAATACTTCCAGATGCCAATTCAAAAATAGTTCCATTAAATCATGACAAAACATGCATTGAAAGAGAATTTGGTGTTAATGAGAATGTGTATCTGAGAAATTATGGGAGAAGGGAAAAATGGATACCAGGTCAAATTGTTCAATGTACAGGACCTGTGTCTTATAAAGTAAAAACAAATGATGGACTTATTGTCCGTAGACATGCAGACCAGTTAAAAATAACTTGTGCAGATAATAAGTGTGAATCTATCAATCCCACCAAATCTGAACAGTTCACACCAACTCAGTTTGTTCCACAACCAAGTTCTGTTGATATGAGTGCACCAAGTTGTCTAGAGTCAGAAAATGTAAATTCTGGAGTTAATGATTTAAATCCTAGACCTCCTGAGATAGAGAATCCAGATGGTCAGAATCTTGAGTCACCAAATCAAAAGCCACTGAGAAGGTCAAGCAGGACAATCAAAGTCCCAAATAAGTTAGACCTATGATTTTAAAGGTCAAAAGGACTTTGACATCATTGTTTTGTATTTTAATTATGTTGTAACATATTGTGCATTGTTTGTAAGGATGTAATCTACCATAGTGTTCATGTTACAATATAATTGGTGATTTTAGGATACTGCAAATTGTTCTATTGAGAGATGTGTTGTGTTTACTAAGGGTAAAAGGATGTAATATAGTGAGACTTGTGAAGTCAAGGGAACTCACTCTTCTTGTATTAGTATTATATTTATACTGTTATCTTGAGTGATGTCCCTTACATGTATATATATCTTTGTCTCTCGTCACTTCCGTTCTCTCTCTCTCCATCATGTTAGCGAAGGCCCAATAAAATCTATATACAAACAGCATGGCTTCTCGTCAATGTGTTATAATAGAACCACTCCAATCCACCTCATTGGGTATTTAACATAAGGGCCTATTTAGTATTTAGTCCACCATTTGATTCCATGTGAACTGTAGTAGCTTGGACAAAGTTTTCTGGGCTCAATGCTTAACTTGAGGCTAAACCAACTCTTTGACAATATACCGTATATAGAAGAAATCGCACCATACCGGCGCGCCGCAATTGCAAAATTAAAAACATTTTTTTTTTTACAGAAACCTCCACAGGAGTATTCTCATCAACACTCTTAAGTTTTACTGCGATCGGGTGTAGCCTACTAGATCTACTGTCAGTAGTACTGTGTCAAACAGCAATCGACTTTTATTTTTATAAAATTTATATAGTGAAGAATCGAATCGCGTCATGTTGGGGCACCGCCCTTGCGAAATTGAAATTCTTTTTCGCAGAAACCCCTTCAGGAGTATTCTCGACAACTTCCCAGTTTCATGGCGGTAGGATAAATATTGATGAAAGGTGTAGCAAAAGGTAGCCTAGTCATCATACCATTTAGCACTCTTTTTAAAAAGAAGTTTGAATAATTCGCGTGCATAGCAACGATAACCAAAGCTTACACCAATGACACAAACTGAAACAATCTAGATCTAAGTGAGGGCTGTTATAGTAATAGCCACTTCCTACAGGTAATATTTGTTTTATTAGTCTATATATTTACTAAATTTATAGTCTAGATCTAGATCTAGATTCTAGGTACGAATTAAATTGGC